GGTCAATTCGCTTATTGCTTACGTCTTACTGTTTAAGTTTTTCACGGCCTTATACTTACTATTTTATGTCGCTACGAGAGAAAGAGTGGCACAGCGCCCACACTCGTTATTTTAACAGAAATATCGCGCACACAAGTCGTGGTATCCGATGCGGAAAGGTCAAACCGCTAATTTCACATGACAACTGGAGGCGAGAATTTAATTTCCCATCCTTCTTTTTTTTCCTTTTTTTTAACACGAGCGAGAAACCTCTATTTTTATTCGGTGATATTTTAAGCGGACTTTGCACGGTCAATATTATCGTGTAATAATTTGTATTGTGCGAATATCGACGACTCGTATATCGAGGATTCGGTCAATATACGAAAACAATAAAAGCAAGTTTGGTCTTTATTGAAGCTTCGTCGATACACTGAACGTGTGTGTGCATGGAAGCATTGCGCAATGTCATGTTGCCAGCGCGAGTCTACTACAGTCGATAGTTATTGGAAAAATAACTGATAGCTATCCGAGCAATAGCTCTAATCAATTTTGAATCCGTAAGAGTGTACCCTGCGGATCTGTAACGCCATGCTATCCCAATGTCCTCATCTCACCCGATATCGCGTAAATTAGTAAGAGACTTTCTAATGCATCACTATCTAAAGTTATCGTCCGGTTCTTTTTTATTTTCTATAATAACCACAAATGTGCGATGCAATATATATACACCGATACACAAACACATACATACATATATATATATTTCACGCGTTTAAATTGAGTTTTCCCTCGAACGTTGTCAACACAATATACTACCTCGATCTACTATAACAACGATCGTTTCGACGAGACTCGAATTAAACGCTCTATTATCGGGCTCTAAAAGCGAAAAAGAGATGGAAGTCACAAGAGGAGCAGGGGTGTATCGCCTCTTCGATGTCAATTGAACCGTTTGTACGAGCGGCGAATACTACACGGCGCGGGTGGACTTTCTTGAATCTCTTGAATGGCGCTACATTTTCTCGCAAGGCGTATTAACGATCCACCGAGCACAAAGTAACTCGAGATGCGATCCGCCGTGGAGGAATCGCTCGAGTTAAATTCTTTATAAGGAACACCGGGGAATGTCGGAGTATCCTTCAACAGCGGGTCAAGGATTCGCTCCTCTCGATTCGATTCGACGATGCTATCGACGCGTTCGTCCGGCATTGCGAAAGCGCGTTCCAGCATTAATAAATGCGCAAATTGCCCGCGCGTGTGCATGCGTGCATACAATGTGCGTAACACAGGCGAGTACTCTTTTGGAAAATTAGGAATCTAGCCTTGGAACATTTTACGGGGCGAGGAGCAATGACTCGCAGCGAGTGCGATAGAATTTTCACAAGACTCTTCGCGGAAAATTTAATGTTCGTTCACCGAGCGAATTTTTAGATTACTTTACGCTCTAACATCTTCTGAGTGCTTAAAGGAATTCCCACGGACAAACTCGCGGCGTGGAAAGAAAGAGCTCCAGAGAGGCAAGAAATTGAAATCGAGGGATCCGCAGGATCTCATTGTACTGTTTCGGCTGATCCGCGACATCCGAGAGAGCCATGCTTTAAGCAACTTAGCAGGGAATAATTTCACTTGAAAATATTCATCGATTATACATTTGATATAACATGAGCAATATACGTCGAGCAAAAATGATGAATTAATCGATATATATATATATATATATATATATATATATATATATATATATATATATATATACACACACACACCATATAAAAGTTTTTTCATCTAAATTCTTTTCCATTTTATTTCATTTTTAATGGTCCAAGAACAGATTGTCTCTCAGTAAAGTCTACTTTGTTAAGGATTATAATAGTTCGTTAGAAGCATAGCAGATTTTGCGAGAGAGCAAGTGTTTTAATAGTACATTCTAGTTCCTGAAATGCAAGTAACATATATAAAATGAAAAGTTAGTGAATTATTACAAAATACCGATCTATTCCTCTTTTACAAAAGCTTATAATAATTTTCATTATAAATTTGTCTTCGTGCAGGCATTATTCAGTAGTTACTTGCACGAAAATATTAGCGATCAGTCGCGAAAAATTCATCACCCATCCCTGACATGCGATCATAAGTAGAGGCATCATCGTAACGAGCTGGCGAAAGGTTAGCGGGATTATCCTCGACAGGTGTGTCACCTCCGTCGTCTCCTTTCGAGGTCTCCCGGTTGAGTAACCGCGGTCTTCGCGTAATTTGTGCAAATCGCCCGTTTCTTATTCAGGACACGCGTGCACCACGCGCGACAGATTGATTGGCGCGCGCGGCTTTTGTTTGGGAAAATGTCGCTGTTTGCGGAATCCGTTCGCGTAGGTGGTGGTCGATTGCCACACCGGGCAACAGGATTGCGCCCCTGCCCCCGACTGTGTGCGAATCTTTCACCACCGTCTCGCCCCTTCTTCCATTAGGCCCGCTCAATCGTCGGATTCCTCTCCGATTTCCGACCTTTTTCCGTTCGGTACCTTCAGAAGTATTTTCTGTAGCGATAGTGATAGACAAATGATAGTGTTTTCGGACTTATTGAAAGCTATCGTCCGATTGCCCGTCGGGAGAGATGGAGAGAAAGTTCCGCAGTTGATTTTTATGTAAAGATAAATCGCTTCCACGAAGGACCGATGAATTTTCATGAGTTATCTTCTCTCCAACATTTTTATCCCCGACGCATTCGCTTCGGCTGATTTTTACTTAAGAGGCGAGACATCTCGTTTGCCCAGGTGAATATGTTAATGCGGAAATTAAACGGGGAATATCTAAGTGCGTAATAAACACGATAAAGATATTTCTGGAATCTTACGAAGAGATGTCATGTCGCTGTTGGCTCTTATTTTTCTATCCAACTTTATTCTCATACGTTCACATACAAAGCAAATTTGAAAACATCTTGTATTACTGTTAGTATTACTATATACTATTACATAGACGTCTCTTGGCGCGATTATCCTTAAATTTTTGCTAGAATCTTATCTGATAATCAGAAGCTCCGTGTATTATATATGGAATAGGACGTCCTTCGAAGCCGCAACGAAGAAGACGAACGTCTCTTAAGTGGCCAATAACCGTATGATTTACCCCACTTAGTGGACTCCGGAGAAATTTATTAAATCCTCCCCTCGTCTTCGCGTCTTTTGTCATACTCTCTCTCTCTTCCTCTCTCCGTCGTCCCGGTCGAGATACCCCCGGGACGAGCCATTCTCGCTTTTTCCCCCTTGGGGATTGGCCCAGTTTTTCCACCCCGTTCGTTCGCCCGCTTGCGACGAACGCCCGATTTGTACCACTTTTGCCCAGACGAAAACGGCGGGTGTACTCATCCTTCGATAAAAATAAATCGCGAGTGTCCAGACAGTTAATGAGATCGATAGAGTCGTTCACGCGCGGCCGAATAACGAGGAACGATGATATCATCCCCGCTTTTTTCATATTATTTCCCGAGGAGAAAGGCCGATATCGTATTAATTTCGTCTGCCCGCTCGGAAGATAGACGGACAGCTAATCCATAAATGAGAATTTCTCTTTCGCGATGAAATATAATGCGGACCCCCAATCGGCGGCCGGGCCACGTCGAAGGGACCTGCAATTGCACCGTACACGAGATTCTTTTTCTTTAATTCGGATCTTGACCGCGTCCCCTTGCGCGCGTGAGTCCGATACTCAGTAAACTGTATTTACTCGTTTCTTATGGGAAATGTGCGTCCCACTTGAGAATATTTTATTCTATGAGCATTCGCGGAGCTATCGTAAAAAGATATGAAAACTGCATATTTTATTACGTAATATTCCGCTTAGTAGAAGAATAAAAGTATATAGGTGGGCGTTTGCCTATAAAAGCAACGGTAAACTTTTACACTCCGTAATAAAAGCGCGGTATCTTATTTCACGTTAATTGTATGCACACGCATCTCGCGTAACCCCCGGCAACTCCCGACGGGGACGTTAAGCTACGCGCAACGTTGTTGCTGCCGCTTCTAAGATAATCGTTTTGTATTTATCAGCGGATATATCGCGTCGCGCGTAATCGCGGTGGGCTCTGTCTCGGTGTTAAAATAACGGCGAGCAGATAAGAGACAGTATAATCACAGTTCCGGAAACTGTGCGCTCTATACGTTGGTTTAGGTGTAGGTGTACCATAAGCAACTGTCCGAAGTAGATACCCGCGAGAGTTGTTTTCCGCTTGTTGAGCCGGTCTAACTTACTGATGTAACCGAAATAATTAAAGTGATGCGTGCTAGACCCTCTCCGCGCTGGCATCGTGAGACAACTTTAAGCCCGGATGTGGGTGGGAAGATGGACCGTGCGGTGAGTGTCACAGTGCGAACTCACGCACCTGTGTGGATCGTACACACACATGTGATGGAAATCCATGCTAATTCGTATCGCCGAGACTTAACTTTCTCGGTTACCCAATTTTCCGCGCAACGGAAAAAACTTTTTTCTTTACGCGCGTATGTGTGCCACGGACGTTCTTGTTTTTAAATAAAGCCTTATTCACGCTGATTCTATTTCTCATATCGCTGCAAGCGAAACAAATTCTTGCTACAACATATTAATGTATACACATCGATTTAACAAAGATAATTAATGTTTTATGATACTTAAATAAATAAACGAATGAATAATTAAACTTATAAGAAAATATATTTAAATAAATTTATGATAAATTAAATGCGAATAAATTAAACAAGTAATTAAATTAAATTTATGGGATATAATGAATGTATGATATAAATGTAATGTATTACAGCTATTATATGGTATACAAATATATAATATAATATAAAACAGGACAGTCTCCTTCGTAAAATCATATTGAAAATTTCATAGTAGTTTCGCCACATACTTTCGGTCTCGCTGTTTTACCACCCGTCGTGCACTGTATTATCGACGGTAGTAAGAGCGCCGAGTGTAGGTACGCGTTGCCATCTGTTGGCGGCGCTCGGTGACGCTCGACCGTACGGCGACAACACAAGCGCATAGAGGGACACGCGTAACGCGACAATGGCGACTTGAGAAGTATCGTGGCGTGCGTTCTCTCGCTATCGTGTCTACTTCTGTGAATTCGCACGAGTGTGTTTACCCGCGTACGCGCGTTCGTGAATGCTCGGATCGTTCGCGTCGGTGAGAGATGCGTTGGCCGAGAGGTGTGAGCCGAAGTCGCGCACAAGCAGACTGCTGAGGCCAGTCATCCAGGCGACCGACACACCGCGATTCATGGTGCTGGTGGACCTCGCCGAAAAAACGGCCGAGCCATGCATGCTTCCGTGTCCTCGTGCTCGTTATAATGCGCTGGTGAGTGGGACGTATCGATCGGGGCAATACGCCGATCGGACGGCAGGATTGTGTCGGGCTTTTTAAATCGCCCGGCACTTCACGATCCGATCGCGCGTCGCGCACAATGTAAACGCTTCTCTGCGCCGTGCGCCTGCTGCTGCTGCTGTTGCTGCTGCTGCCGCCGTTGCCACCGCCACCACCGCTGCTGCCGCTGCTGCTGCTGCCGCAAGCCTGCTGGCGCTCGGTTCGGCGGAGCTCGAAATGCGCGGTTAGGTTAGGTTAGTCTGCGAAACTGCCAGGAGGAAATTTATTTTGCTCTCTTTTGCAGTCCGCGCGACTGCAGTCCGGACTGCATCTTCTATTTGTTGTATCGTCAAGCTCTTATCGAAGGTACGTGAGCGTCGCGAGTGCGGTCCCTGCTCTCTCTTTCTGTCTTTCTCTCTCCCTTCTCTTTTTCTCTTCATCTATTTCTTTCTCTCTCTCTCTCTCTCTCTCTCTCTCATCTGCCATCCCCTCTCTGTCTCACTCTCGTACTGTATGTGTCTCTCTTTATCTGGATCCTATCCCCGTTTCTTCTCCGTTTCATCAACCATCTCCTCTCATTCACGACAAACGCACGAATCACTCGCGCGCCACCCGAAGTGAACTTAACGGTAATAATTTCGTTATTTATATCGGCATATGCAAATGTAGGCGGCATGTTTCGAGTGTATGTGTGCGTGTGTGCGTGTAGTGTGTAATCCATATATATGTATACATATACCTGTGCATATAAGGTGTACACGCGCGATCTACGGTCGTGATTATTTATGCGAGTGTACTCTCTGCCGCGCTCTCTGTCGTACATAAGTATGTTATGAATGATAAGATCCGTGAATCTCACGCCGCGAACAAATGGAACGACGGTACGGTATTTGCTTATATGCTCTTTGATCACGACTGCAGCTTCAAAAATATCGTTTTCACGAATTACACGTTTGTTGTGACTAATGTTTACATGCGCATCAAAATTTTCTCGAGCGTTACTTGCGTTAGTCAAACTACATTGTTTGAGTTTGAGTTTGTGTAAAAATTCTTATCTAAATTCTTCTGAAGGAGATCTTTCACACACGTGGGAGATATCTGATTGTTTATTTGAGATCTGTTTCCAGTCTGTAATATCTTTGAATGAATATTTCCTGTTTCTTTTTTTTACAGTGAGCATTACAACAGCTAAATTATTCATACGTTTATAATTTTTATACTTTTTGCATGTATATTCAGTGATGAGCATCATTACTATCCTTCATCATATTTGATTTATTCACATTTAATTTGACTTAGATGCAGCGTTAGTGAGTTGAACAAGAAAATATATGTTATAAAAGCTATCTAATCTATTATTTTTTATCACACAGCAATAAATGTACATGAGCCAATACTTCATAACCTATTCACAAATGTTGGCTTTTAAAATAAAACTGTTCTTTCTAATTCACTAATCTGAACCGTTTAAGTAAATTTTCTGAGTTATTGATAATCACAATAAGTTTTTCTCTGCTCTTTATTAAATTAGTTTATAACAATAATAGATAAGTAACAAGTAGATATCTAAACAAGATATTTTTTTACAGCATTAGTTGTCAGAATATATATATATATATATATATATATATATATATATATATATATATAT